GAAATGTCATTTGATATTTCAGTTTATATATAGTCACGTGAAGGGGGGAGTAAAGTGGCATATAGTCACGTATGGGACGAATAAAGTGGCATAAAGTCACGTATGGGGGGAGTAAAGTGGCTTATAGTCACGTATCGGACGAGTAAAGTGGCTTATAATCACGTATCGGACGAGTAAAGTGGCCCACAGTCTCGTGTTGGAGGGAAGTAAAATGACATATAGTCACGTGACTGGGGTACGCTGGATGTACTCACGTGCAGATGGCGTGTCTGAGGGCGTGGCAGCCGCGGGCGATGGAGCCGTCACTGAGGCAGTGGGGAATCAGGTCATAGGTGCAGGCCAAGTTCTCGCAGTAGTCAGAAGGGCGACCTGGGACGTCAGAGGCAGTCAGATAAAACAGATGACGCCGAATGTCATATTGACATAGTACTCTCGTGTGTGAATATATATTCAAATGCATTATGTTTTGCGGCGTCCATGCCCCATCTGTATCCCGGGGGAATGAGGTGTGTGAAGATGTGTGTGTGTGTGTGTGTGTGTGTGCGTGCGTGCGTGCGTGCGTGCGTACGTACGTGCGTGCGTGCGTGCGTGCGTGCGTGCGTGCGTGTGTGTGTGTGTGTGTGTGTGTGTGTGTGTGTGTGTGTGTGTGTGTGTGTGTGTGAGAAGGTGTGTGTGTGTGTGAAGGTGTGTGTGTGTATTTGTGTGTGTGTCTATGGATGTGTGTGTATCTGTGTATATGCGTGTGCGTGTATGCGTGTGTATATGTATGTGTGTGCGTGTGTATGTGTGTGTCTGTGTGTGCTTATGTGTGTGTGTCTATGTGTGTGCATGTATATGTGCGTGTATGTATATGTGTGTGCGTGTATATGTGTATGCGTGTGTATGTGTATGTATGTATGTTTGTGTATGTGTGTATGTATGTGTGTATGTATGCATGTGTGGGTCTGTGTGTATGTGTGTATGTATGTGTGTATGTATGCATGTTTGTGTCTGTGTGTATGTGTGTGTTGTGAATGTTCGTGCGTATCTGTGTGTGTATGTGTCTCTGTGTGTTTGTCTGTGTTGTGTATGTGTGTGTGTGTTGTGTGTATGAATTTGTGTGTGTTGTGTATGTGCGTGTGTGTGTCTGTGTGCATGCACATATGTATGTCTCTGTGTGTATGTATGTGTCTGTGTATATGTATGTGTCTCTGTGTATGTATGTGTGTGTGCGTGTGCGTGTGTATGTGTGTGTCTGTGTCTGTGTGTATATATATATGTGTCTGTGTGTATGTATGTGTGTGCGTGTGTATGGGTGTATCTGTGTGTGTGTGTGTGTGTTTGTGTGTGCCTATGTGTGTTCATGTGTATGTGCGTGTGTATGTATCTGTGCGTCCGTGTATATGAGTACGTGCGTATGCGTGTGTATGTGTGTATATGTTTGTTTGTGTATGTGTGTAGGCATGTGTGTGTGTGTGTGTCTGTGTGTATGTGTCTTGGTGTGTTTGTGTGTGTTGTGTATGTGTGTGTAGTATATGTGCGTGTGTGTGTCTGTGTGCATGTGCATATGTATGTCTCTGTGTATGTATGTGTCTCTGTATATGTATGTGCCTGTGTGTATGTATGTGTGTGTGCGTGTGGGTGTGTATCTGTGTGTCTGTGTCTGTGTGTATATATATATGTGTCTGTGTGTATGTATGTGTGTGCGTGTGTATGGGCGTATCTTTGTGTGTGTGTTTGTGTGTGCCTATGTGTGTGTGCCTATGTGTGTTCATGTGTATGTGCGTGTATGTATCTGTGCGTCCGTGTATATGAGTATGTGCGTATGCGTGTGTATGTGTGTATATGTTTGTTTGTGTATGTGTGTAGGCATGTGTGTGTCTGTGTGTCTGTGTGTCTGTGTGTCTGTGTGTGTTTGTGTGTGTTGTGTATGTGCGTGTGTATGTATGTATGTGTCTATGTGTGTGTGTGTGTGTGTGTGTGTGTTGTGTATGTGCGTGTAGTATGTCTGTGTGTGTGTTGTGTGTGTATGTATTTGTGTGTGTTGTGTATGTGCGTGTGTGTGTCTGTGTTTGTTTGTGTCTGTGTGTGTGTTGTGTATGTGTATGTTTGTATGTTTGTGTGCGCTGTGTATATGTGTGTGTGCGCGTGTGTGTGCGTGTGTGTGTGTGCTGCCTATGTGTTTGCGTATGTGTGTCTGTGTGTGCGGGGCGTCAGGGACATCTATATTCATCCATGCGGGTAATCGAGGCTGACGAGCAAGTACAGTTACCCACTCGCCTTCAGTTTATATAAACGTGTGACTCACATGCTTGTGATGGCGTCCAGCCGGTCTGTTCTGTCTTCTTATCCCTGCAAGAAGAACGTGAAGCGTGTCACTGGAATGGCGGAGCCTCCCAACAAGAAACGCTAGCCTTAAACCTAACTCCTACTGTTTGGTTTGAGATGCTGTAGAGAACAACATTCAGGCCTAGAATTGTAATACAAAGTGGCCATGACGGCAGACTGGTGTTTGCTGCTGTGCCACACGCGTTCAGTCACGTACTTGCAGACTGCGTTCTTGAGGCCCACACAGCCGAAGACGATGGTGCCGTCCGTCATGCAGTGGGGGATGTAGTCCATGGTGCACATCCCCTGTTGACACAACTCGGGGTTGTCCGCGAGCCCAGCACCTGTACACGTGTTAGTGGGATTAGAACAAAGGAATGAAACAGTACCTGTGAGGAGAGATTGTCCAGTTGGAGTACATTAAATAATCTTCCGTAATTGTGAAAGACAGGTGTTGGTCACGTACATTTAGCAGTATTTATAGCTTCAACTTAAATTTACTTCAAAGAGAAATCTACTCATGACGATCACGACGAATGGGGTCTGAACTGGAAGATGACAACGGGAAATGCTTCTGTAAACGTGGCATCGTTGCTAGGTTACATACCGGCGAGACACAGCACAGCAACAAGACATACGGCGATCATCGTGGCTGGTTACTAAAGGAGTAAACACAATAAAATAACAAGCATAAGTGTGTGGAGACCTTATTTTATATGTATTTTTTATATATTATTTTATATCAATACGCACATGTCATGCATAAACAACATAGGTCATACATACCTGTCACACACACACACACACACACACACACACACACACACACACACACACACACACACACACACACACACACACACACACACATATATATATATATATATATATATATATAATTATACATTATATATATGTAGATGGTACCAGACATATTAAAGCGGTGTGGACAAAAACTTACGTAGTCTGTGGAAAGATGTCCGAGGGTGTCCAGTGCCCATCTTTTATACCCAGCTACACTGATGACCAGTGTTGATCAACCCACGTTTCACTGATGACACGTGCTGATTATCTGCAGATCTGCCGTGTAATCACCGAGTCCGACAGCTCCCTGATCCAGCTGATGGGCACCGCCATGACTGCTGTGAGTGACGTATGATGATGATCAGGATGATGATCACCGTGCAGCTGGCACCACGACGTGTGGAGGTCACACGGGTCACACCAGCAACCCATCACGTCAGTGTTTCAGACATGTGCAATCTGAAGCTGGAAAGGATGCAGTAGAGAGTGAGTGAGTGAGTATGGTTTTACGCCGCTTTTAGCAATATTCCAGTACTATCACGACAGGGGACACCAGAAATGGGCTTCACACATTGTAGTCAGAGACGAGCGAGCGAACGTTTGAAACACTAGGCTACCCCAACGCCCCGACAGGATGCAGTAAGTACACCCAGTACACCCAGTACACCCAGTACACCCAGTACACCCAGTACACCCATACTGCTTGTTCACCCAGCAGAAATAGAACATGCATTTTTTCTATTCTAAATGTCTATAGTTGCAAATATTAAAGCATTGTATGCGTACATTGTTGTGCAAATTATAAGTGAAGTCTTGTGCAGATCGTCGCAATATCTTTACATGAAATAAACACGGGTTGCAAGAAATAAAATGTTTGTTTTTTGTGCTACTGTTGTTAAGTAATTGATATAAACCTGCATAAGGGTTACGTGTTAACTCTTAATGTAAAAGTTTTTACATTAAGAGTAACAACCCGCAGGGTTAATATCGTGCATATCGCTCCTTATTGTAAACGGTACTTATAAACAAGGTGTGATTGGTAATATAGGGTACTTTTGCTATTTTCACATTTTACATTGTTTTTGCGTGTTTTCTCAGGAACAACATATAGTAGAGCCATGGAACTTGTATAAGTGCACTGCACCTTTTATATTCCAACAACCTCTCAACAACAACAACAACAACCTGGTCGTTATTTACAGGTTTCTTTAAGTGGACATTACTGACATGTCATTTCGCCGACAATCTTGCTACAAAGGTGCATCTGTGACACTATTGTGTCCAGTCTTGCTACAAAGGTGCATCTGTGACACTATTGTGTTCAATCTTGCTACAAAGGTGCGTCTGTGACACTATTGTGTTCAATCCTGCTACAAAGGTGCGTCTGTGACACTATTGTGTTCAATCTTGCTACAAAGGTGCGTCTGTGACACTAGTATGTTCAATCTTGCTACAAAGGTGTATCTGTGACACTATTGTGTTCAATCTTGCTTCAAAGGTGCATCTGTGACACTATTGTGTTCAATCTTGCTACAAAGGTGCGTCTGTGACACTATTGTGTTCAATCCTGCTACAAAGGTGCGTCTGTGACACTATTGTGTTCAATCTTGCTACAAAGGTGCATCTGTGACACTATTGTGTTCAATCTTGCTACAAAGGTGCATCTGTGACACTATTGTGTTCAATCTTGCTACAAAGGTGCATCTGTGACACTATACAGTATGACTTTATTTACGTTACTATCCTGCTTCCATGGCAACGGAAAGCGGCATCTCCAGAGCTGACTGATAGAAATTTCAGAAATTTCGTTCAAATTTGGTATTGAGGTACGATGTATTTCAGGACTCAACCGAATAGGTTTTCTTATCATCATGACAATGTATGGCACCATGGCAATGTATGGCACCCGATTGGTCGAAAGTAAGTTGTGTTCGATTTTGTTAAAAGATATTAAATATTTTTTCTGCACACAAAGCATAGTTTATTACAATAGCAATGGAATGGAGTTCTCTGCATGGTCGAAATTTAGATAATTAACCCTATTTCAGACTATTTTCAAAATTGATAAGTGCTTTACAGGTCTCAAACACCTAAGTCAATATATAAATACCTTTTTATGAAGTCAACCCTCGTCAAATTCCTTTTATTAGATTATTCACTGTAGTTGACAGTGCCCCCGCAATTAAGTTGGGGGTATAAAGGAATCAGCGTGTCCGCCTGTCTGTCGGTCTGTCCGTAGAAAATAACTTTCCTGACAATTCCTTCTAAACTAATTAACTGATTTCAATTAAACTTTGTACACCTCACCACTTCAAGATATAGTTGGGCACATGTTATTGCACTTTATTACTTCGTCATTTCAATTTTTCTGGACAACTTCTAAACTTCTACATCGATTTCGTTTAGATATTTGTGCAGGTGTAGATACGGACACAGTACGACATGCCTTCTTTTCCATTAGCATTGACTGACCATGGCAACGGAACGAAGCCTGTTTCGTTCAGATGTTGTGTATTGACGACATGTTATTGGACTCCGAACTCAACCACATTGGCTTTGTTTTTACCGTATCGGTGGAAAGGAGGCTTCTGATTGTTCCTTTAAATACTCTACCCTATTTCGTATAATCTTTAAAAACAGAGGTTGCGATCTTGTCGTCCAATATGTTTGAAGAGGGGCGTTTGGATACTCATGTTGACATCATCATACGTCTGTGAGAGGTATTTATTTCCTCATAGGACAGTTCTAGTGAGCTTAATCCTTTTTCAAAACATTCAAGATGGCCGAAAGGCTTATGTGACGTATTGCCACCCGTCCTTGTACGGTGTGCGTCATCCGTAATGCGAAATCTAAATCTATGTGTGTGTGTGTTGTGTTGTGTTGTGTTGTGTTATTTAAAACGCATCTAGCCATCTAATTTACTTTAAACATTAACGACCCTGCACTGTTATCTGACTTTCCCAGGGGGAATCGATCAGAAGAAAAGATTTAGATGCAGGTCCCCCAAACATGTTGATAACAGGTTGAACACAAACACCACCAAGCTAAAAACATCGGACAACACAAACACCACCAAGCTAAAAACATCGGACAACCCAAACACCACCAAGCTAAAAACATCGGACAACACAAACACCACCAAGCTAAAAACATCGGACAACACAAACACCACCAAGCTAAAAACATCGGACAACACAAACACCACCAAGCTAAAAACATCGGACAACACAAACACCACCAAGCTAAAAACATCGGACAACACAAACACCACCAAGCTAAAAACATCGGACAACACAAACACCACCAAGCTAAAAACATCGGACAACACAAACACCACCAAGCTAAAAACATCGGACAACACAAACACCACCAAGCTAAAAACATCGGACAACACAAACACCACCAAGCTAAAAACATCGGACAACACAAACACCACCAAGCTAAAAACATCGGACAACACAAACACCACCAAGCTAAAAACATCGGACAACCCAAACACCACCAAGCTAAAAACATCGGACAACACAAACACCACCAAGCTAAAGACATCGGACAACACAAACACCACCAAGCTAAAAACATCGGACAACACAAACACCACCAAGCTAAAAACATCGGACAACACAAACACCACCAAGCTAAAAACATCGGACAACACAAACACCACCAAGCTAAAAACATCGGACAACACAAACACCACCAAGCTAAATACATCGGACAACACAAACACCACCAAGCTAAAAACATCGGACAACACAAACACCACCAAGCTAAAAACATCGGACAACACAAACACCACCAAGCTAAAAACATCGGACAACACAAACACCACCAAGCTAAAAACATCGGACAACACAAACACCACCAAGCTAAAAACATCGGACAACACAAACACCACCAAGCTAAAAACATCGGACAACACAAACACCACCAAGCTAAAAACATCGGACAACCCAAACACCACCAAGCTAAAAACATCGGACAACACAAACACCACCAAGCTAAAGACATCGGACAACACAAACACCACCAAGCTAAAAACATCGGACAACACAAACACCACCAAGCTAAAAACATCGGACAACACAAACACCACCAAGCTAAAAACATCGGACAACACAAACACCACCAAGCTAAAGACATCGGACAACACAAACACCACCAAGCTAAAGACATCGGACAACACAAACACCACCAAGCTAAAGACATCGGACAACACAAACACCACCAAGCTAAAAGCATCGGACAACACAAACACCACCAAGCTAAAAGCATCGGACAACACAAACACCACCAAGCTAAAGACATCGGACAACACAAACACCACCAAGCTAAAGACATCGGACAACACAAACACCACCAAGCTAAAGACATCGGACAACACAAACACCACCAAGCTAAAGACATCGGACAACACAAACACCACCAAGCTAAAAACATCGGACAACACAAACACCACCAAGCTAAAAACATCGGAATTCAGCGGAACAATCAAGCTTCATAAGGATCTCGGGAAATGGCGAGGGGAGTCACGAGACGATCTAATCGTCGATTCATGTCATGTTTGAGGGGTATTTGATTTCATACTAGTCATGCAGCCATACAGTCAATCAGCTCGCAGATGGTTTGCAACTGATGAGGTTAATTGGCATCTGCGACTGCCCACTTGGTCCAAAGCGTCACTGCCGGCCACACAGTGCAACTACGCATGTATGTACTTTGCTGATAAAGAAATCTAAACGTCGTTTGTGCTTTTGTATTTGCAAGTAATTTTAATCTCAGATTGTTTTTATAAATCTCTTCATCTGGACTCCCAACCACTGACCTGACTGACAAGTTTGGTTTGGTGTGTTTGTTTGTTTAGTTTAGTGACAGGTCACGTTTTATGGCAGACGTCGTGTTTACAGGCGTCATGGGGAATCTTAAGCACGAAACTGCATTCAGGAAGTGGATAGATTTGTTGGTGGTAGTGTGATGACGTGGGCGGACATCTCCTACACTGGTACAGCAGACTTGATGCAAGTTCTGGGGAATTTAACGGCACGACGTTACACTAGAGACCATATAATAGATTATATGGTCTCTGGTTACACTGATGAGATTCTTCGGTCACACGCCCTTCCCATTATGCAACAAGTGAATGTCATTTTCAAACAAGGCAACTCCCAACCTCACAACAGCCAGGTCAACAACAGCCTTGTGCAGGAATCTCAACATCCAGGTCAACAACAGCCTTGTGCAGGAATCACAACATCCAGGTCAACAACAGCCTTGTGCAGGAATCTCAACATCCAGGTCAACAACAGCCTTGTGCAGGAATCTCAACATCCAGGTCCTGCCATGGCCCTTCAGGTCTCCAGATTTAAACCCAATGGAACATTTATTTGATGCACCGGATCAACGACTGCGAGAACGTCAGCAACAACCACAGAACATCTGACATTTGGCACATGTACTGCAGGCAGAGTGGGTGAACGTTTCCCAGGCCACAATTCGGGATCTGCTTGCATGTGATCACGCCGGTGTACACAGTCAGTTGTGGAGTAATGGTGGCGATACAAGCTATTGAGAACAGATGACTTTCACCTTGAGCATTTACTGTTCCATAAGTGTCATTTGAAACCTGGGTCAACGACAGTGATGTGTGCCAATTTTATTTTTACAATCGATTACCGTTTGTTAATTATTTATATGATGTATTAAATAAACTTATAAAATCACTTTTTTGTTTCATATTTTTGCAGAGTATATTTTCTTTTTATTTCTATTTCAATAATTGCAATATTGAGAAAATAACTGAAATTAATGGGGAACAAAAAATGAGAAAATGAGAAAACATATATAATTGAAATAACGAGATAAATGCTCGGAAAATATGCTTTCAAAGTGACAATATTAAGCTTTCATGGTTATCTGTGTCCAGATCACGGAGGATATGCAATAAGTCTGACGTATAGATGCTTGGTTCGATGCAAAAAGTATATAATTTAACAATCGTTGTAAAACAATATGCATATTTCCCTGTTTAAAAAATACCTCGTGATTATTAACGCACACGCTTGCAACATAACGCATGCACGTGAATTCTACGTTGTATACATAGAGACACAGTACATACACGGATGTAAACAGTTTTATCTATTACAAAAACTTAAACGTTTCCCAGAACCCTGCTTCCAACTATTGCCACGTGTTTAGTGAAGACCTGCGAGCCGACCGACGACCTCTTCTGAAAAGGTTGCTGCCCTCCAATGTATAATGTCACGTCCGCTGAAACAAGCCAATATCGTCACAGGACGCAACAGCTGTTTGGGGTCGCAGGAAGTCTCCTGTGATGGCGTTCAAAATCCTGCTACACCGCTGTACGGTCGTCTTTCTGCGTTAAAGCATGGTGGCATTTTGACGCTGTGGTATGAATGGAGACAGGCTGGAGGTTTGGATTGCAGCTTCGTCTTACAGTCTATGTTAATATTAGTTTTATACCAGTACTGATTTTTAAGCTAGAACTGGTATACTATACTCGTACACATGTTACTTCGAATGTGTCATTAGCATAAACTTATCACTCTGCATATATCATCAATATACACATGTTACTCTCAATATGATTGTTGTGTCAGTGTGAGGAGCTACATTAAACAGGGATTGTTGTGTCAGTGTAAGGAGCTACATTAAACAGGGATTGTTGTGTCAGTGTAAGGAGCTACATTAAACAGGGATTGTTGTGTCAGTGTGAGGAGCTACATTAAACAGGGATTGTTGTGTCAGTGTGAGGAGCTACATTAAACAGGGATTGTTGTGTCAGTGTGAGGAGCTACATTAAACAGGGATTGTTGTGTCAGTGTGAGGAGCTACATTAAACAGGGATTGTTGTGTCAGTGTGAGGAGCTACATTAAACAGGGATTGTTGTGTCAGTGTGAAGAGCTACATTAAACAGGGATTGTTGTGTCAGTGTGAGGAGCTACATTAAACAGGGATTGCTGAGTCAGTGTGAGGAGCTACATTAAACAGGGATTGTTGTGTCAGTGTGAAGAGCTATATTAAACAGGGATTGTTGTGTCAGTGTGAGGAGCTACATTAAACAAGGATTGTTGTGTCAGTGTGAGGAGCTACATTAAACAAGGATTGTTGTGTCAGTGTGAGGAGCTACATTAAACAGGGATTGTTGTGTCAGTGTGAAGAGCTACATTAAACAGGGATTGTTGTGTCAGTGTAAGGAGCTACATTAAACAGGGATTGTTGTGTCAGTGTGAAGAGCTACATTGAACAGGGATTGTTGTGTCAGTGTGAGGAGCTATTTAATGTAGTGTGAAGAGCTACATTAAACAGGGATTGTTGTGTCAGTGTGAGGAGCTACATTAAACAGGGATTGTTGTGTCAGTGTGAAGAGCTACATTGAACAGGGATTGTTGTGTCAGTGTGAAGAGCTACATTAAACAGGGATTGTTGTGTCAGTGTGAAGAGCTACATTAAAAAGGGATTGTTGTGTCAGTGTGAAGAGCTACATTAAACAGGGATTGTTGTGTCAGTGTGAAGAGCTACATTGAACAGGGATTGTTGTGTCAGTGTGAAGAGCTACATTAAACAGGGATTGTTGTGTCAGTGTGAAGAGCTACATTAAACAGGGATTGTTGTGTCAGTGTGAAGAGCTACATTAAACAGGGATTGTTGTGTCAGTGTGAAGAGCTACATTGAACAGGGATTGTTGTGTCAGTGTGAAGAGCTACATTAAACAAGGATTGTTGTGTCAGTGTGAAGAGCTACATTAAACAGGGATTGTTGTGTCAGTGTGAACAGCTACATTAAACAGGGATTGTTGTGTCAGTGTGAAGAGCTACATTGAACAGGGATTGTTGTGTCAGTGTGAAGAGCTACATTAAACAGGGATTGTTGTGTCATTGGAAGAATTACATTAAACAGGGATTGTTGTGTCAGTGTGAAGAGCTACATTAAACAGGGATTGTTGTGTCAGTGTGAAGAGCTACATTAAACAGGGATTGTTGTGTCAGTGTGAGGAGCTACATTAAACAGGGATTGTTGTGTCAGTGTGAGGAGCTACGTTAAACAGGGATTGTTGTGTCAGTGTGAAGAGCTACATTAAACAGGGATTGTTGTGTCAGTGTGAGGAGCTACATTAAACAGGGATTGTTGTGTCAGTGTGAAGAGCTACATTAAACAAGGATTGTTGTGTCAGTGTGAGGAGCTACATTAAACAGGGATTGTTGTGTCAGTGTGAAGAGCTACATTAAACAGGGATTGTTGTGTCAGTGTAAGGAGCTACATTAAACAGGGATTGTTGTGTCAGTGTGAAGAGCTACATTAAACAGGGATTGTTTTGTCAGTGTGAGGAGCTACATTAAACAGGGATTGTTGTGTCAGTGTGAGGAGCTACATTAAACAGGGATTGTTGTGTCAGTGTGAGGAGCTACATTAAACAGGGATTGTTGTGTCAGTGTGAGGAGCTACATTAAAAAGGGATTGTTGTGTCAGTGTGAAGAGCTACATTGAACAGGGATTGTTGTGTCAGTGTGAAGAGCTACATTAAACAAGGATTGTTGTGTCAGTGTGAAGAGCTACATTAAACAGGGATTGTTGTGTCAGTGTGAAGAGCTACATTAAACAGGGATTGTTGTGTCAGTGTGAAGAGCTACATTGAACAGGGATTGTTGTGTCAGTGTGAGCAGCTACATTAAACAGGGATTGTTGTGTCAGTGTGAAGAGCTACATTGAACAGGGATTGTTGTGTCAGTGTGAAGAGCTACATTAAACAGGGATTGTTGTGTCAGTGTGAGGAGCTACATTAAACAGGGATTGTTGTGTCAGTGTGAGGAGCTACATTAAACAGGGATTGTTGTGTCAGTGTGAGGAGCTACATTAAACAGGGATTGTTGTGTCAGTGTGAAGAGCTACATTGAACATGGATTGTTGTGTCAGTGTGAGGAGCTACATTAAACAGGGATTGTTGTGTCAGTGTGAAGAGCTACATTAAACAGGGATTGTTGTGTCAGTGTGAAGAGCTACATTAAACAGGGATTGTTGTGTCAGTGTGAAGAGCTACATTGAACAGGGATTGTTGTGTCAGTGTGAAGAGCTACATTAAACAGGGATTGTTGTGTCAGTGTGAAGAGCTACATTGAACAGGGATTGTTGTGTCAGTGTGAAGAGCTACATTAAACAGGGATTGTTGTGTCAGTGTGAAGAGCTACATTGAACAGGGATTGTTGTGTCAGCGTGAAGAGCTACATTAAACAGGGACTGTTGTGTCAGTGTGAAGAGCTACATTAAACAGGGATTGTTGTGTCAGTGTGAAGAGCTACATTGAACAGGGATTGTTGTGTCAGTGTGAAGAGCTACATTAAACAGGGATTGTTGTGTCAGTGTGAAGAGCTACATTGAACAGGGATTGTTGTGTCAGTGTGAAGAGGTACATTAAACAGGGATTGTTGTGTCAGTGTGAAGAGCTACATTAAACAGGGATTGTTGTGTCAGTGTGAAGAGCTACATTGAACAGGGATTGTTGTGTCAGTGTGAGGAGCTACATTAAACAGGGATTGTTGTGTCAGTGTG